TCATCACATCCACAAACACAAGCAAATACTCTGTCAGGCTCTTTCTCTGTCTTTCCCCATGACTTATTCATGCACTACAGAAGCTGAAACCTGTCTCATTCTCCACTTCATGAAAAATTTACACATTGACTTTATTTTCTCATGGCAAGACACATGAGGGAGTGGTGGGGGCAACAAACTGTTTGCTGTTATGGGTATTTAGATTTTAAACATCTGCAATAAAACAGTTGGAGCACTCAACTCTGCCAATGTTTGGAGGCAACATATGAAAATTATGCCACTTATCACAATTGTCACTTAAATGAGTGGATGTCTAGTTTTACTGGTTTAGAGGTAATTAAACAAGCAGCTGATGCAAAAAAAAATACGCCATTCTTTCTCTCCAGCCCTGCTTGACCTGCATTGTAAAGATTAGCTCTAGAGCTTAATTCACTGACAATGTAAATGCATGGGGTGTGAGTCACCCATCCTGCCTTACTGAGCAGTTTCTACTGACTCCAATTATAATATGCAGTGAGTCATAGTCTTGGTTTAACATTATGTGCCTTGGATTGTTTCCAGCACTGCCCTGTGTCATATTCATGCAGTTACAGACATGCTTACCTGGCAGCTGCTGAGCACACTCCTTTTGTTACACTGAGCAGCTCCACTGGAGGCGTGTGTAAACAGATGCTTTGTTGTTGTTGAGGGAGAGAAAAAGAGTTACTCATTCTCTGTATCCACCCAGATTTTCCTCGCTCGTGAGAGATTTGAACTGGCAGGCAGCTGAGGCCAGAGTGACAATCCTCTGAAGTTAGAAGAAGAATACATTTTAGGTTTTTATTGTGCCAGAGGGAGGCAATTTGTAAGATGAATCCCATGTTTCAAAAATATCTGGAGATTTTTCTTCTATAAACCTTTCAAATAGGATTGTAACTGTGTAATGTAAGGGCTTGTCCATTATAGGTTCCCAGTTTAGAAACACTTTAGTATAATAAGTATGTATTTAAGTTGTATATAGCCTATATTTCCTCTAAACTATATTATTTTTACACCACCTTCTGCTGTGACCTGTGCAATGTTCCATATCAATTACATCTGCATAATGTACATATAAATCTCATTCTATTTTCATTATATCTTGTATTTTTTATTTAATGTGTTTTTTTCTTTTCTGTTGTGTTGTATCTGGAACTGCTGTTGCGAGTGAATTTCTTATCTTATCTTGACACAATGAGGTGTGACTAGTGATTGCTCCTTCTTTTAATGACACAGATACCTCATACATACTTGATATTTAACAAAGAAAAATAATAACATACCAAGCTTAATAAATATGCCTGATTGGTAAGATAGATAAAATGGTCTTAAGTGCATTTACCTTAAATTCTTATGGTAGAAATATCCAGAAAGTTGAGAGCTGCTTCTAGGTATCTCATTAGGTCTTTTCTTACTAAACAAGAAGAAAGCAAATACCCATACATACAAACTACTTAAGAACAATAGTATATTCAAGACGTTTAGATCTTTTTGTTGGAATAAATCATCCAAATCCTTGTACTACATGCTACCTAACATGCGCCTGCAAAAGAAAGAGAGATGAAAAGACTTTAAGCCTCATATATATGGGTTGGTGCAGTGAGTCATCAACAATCAGATTGTATTTCTATTGTACATCTGCTAACTCAGACCTTTCACCACTACTGAAGTACCAGGGAAGAAGTACCAGGGAAGAAGTATGCTCTAATTCTGACAGCACACAACCAGAAACCCTCTTTGTTGTTTACATGTTTTTTTTAAAGACAGCTAGCCCTTCAATTAATTTCTTGACTTTGGATGGTATTTGTTAAATTCATATAATTCTTTTGAGTAGATGATAAACTGTTAATGCAGGATCAGAGCTCAGAGAACCTTTGAGGCTATTGAGGAGATGTTCATCTTCAGTGCATTTCCTCTTCTATCCTTGAAGCAGGGATTCATGTTGTCTTGTAGATGTTGTCTACCATGGCCCTTGCTCCTGTTATGGCAGCATGTGCTTGGGTGCCACAAAATATGTTGTTTGTCTTGTTTTCTTGCAACTGAATATGTAATTACCATTCGACTGACATTGTATTTTTAACACCCACCAAATCCCAAAGAATTTTCGTGTGTCAACAAAAGGCTGATGTTTTTCTTCCTCCACCTCTCCCTCACAGTCGCTCCCCCATTGCTGCTCATTTGCTGAAGTGTCATTGCAGCTCAACCGTCAACCACAATGCCTGGAGAGACCCTTGGGGCATTTAGGAGAAAGAGCAAATGGCAGATTTGACATGGAATTGATGTAACTCCATTGCCCCACCCACTGGTTGTTGATTCTCACTACACCCTTGGAGGCCAGCCCTCACAGTCAAAAGAATAAATTGGAAAAGTTTGTTTAGAGCTTAACTGCTGAGTTATGTGGAGCTTGGAGTTGGTAGCAAGTCATTCCTGCATGTTTATACCGAAGGCATGTGGAGAGTTGGATTGACTGGGTGAATACACTGATATGAGGCAAGATGTATGTCTCTAATTTGTTTGCTGTATTTTCGTTGGGATTGCACAGTGGACAGAGTTTGACTGAACACCCCCTCATTCAGAAGATAAACAGTAATGTGATTCACTGCTGCTCCCTTCTTCATCGCCAAGCCATTTAGCTCTCCATCACCACAGCAACCACCTCCAATAATGTGTAAATGGTTTTATTTTAAAGTTCTGCCATTCAGAAAAGAGGTAATGATAAATGTCATATGGTGAAATGTTGTAAAATTGTCCTTAATCTACTAAAGAAAATCAGAATCAAATCAGAAAAAGAAATAGAATCAGAATCAGAATCAGAAATAAATCAGAATAAACCATTAAAACTTCTGCTGTGCTACCCGAAGGGTTCTCTCAGGTCACATATATTTTTCAGCTTGACTATGGATTAATATATCCTCCAGAAGAGGAAATCATGTAAACACTTAAACATCCCACTTATGATGAACCTTAACACATGTTAATGTTTACCATACCTCAGACCTTCACCTACAGTCAGCCCACTCAATTCTTGACTGTTGAACCCTGCAGCCCATAATTCAAAGCTAACTGCCCAATGATTGTGCTCTAAACTCTCAGAAGCTGTTTTTTATGTTTTTTATCCCTCACTAATGCCAGAAGTGGGACTGAACAACGCTTCTGGGTATTCCCAGTCAATTGAGCTGGTAAAGTGACAGACTAATGATACTTTCCGTTGCCCAGTGACACAGGCTTAAATGCAGTGTTGTATGGTATTCTGCACAGAAAGAAAAAGGAGAGAAGGAAAGAAAATATAATATAGCTTATTTAAAGGCATGTGAGTTTTTATAACTGAGCTCTTGTGCTATTTCCCCTGTCAGTTGCCATGATCTTTCACTGGTCAGAAAATAATTTATTGCTGCTTATTAAAAATGTGATCATTCACTAAAATAATTAAAGAGTAACATTTCTCTGCTGGTGAGCATAGAAAAGAAAGAAATATTGACCAAATTGCAGAAGCATCCTCTGCAAATGGTTCCAAGGAACTTATATTTACTCATCATGATCAAATGCCTTTTAACAAACATGAGATATGTTTGCCCTCAGCTGAGGATAGAGAACTGAATGTTTGAATGTTCATTTTCCCCAGCGTGTCGGCAAAAGAATTAATGGGTTGTTTGTCAAATCTGAAAAAGACTGATTTGGTGGAGTCAGTGTTGTGTTAATGTTGATAGACTCTCTGGCATTCCAAGCACATCCTTCTATCAGCTAAATATATGTAGCTTGGGCATTTGCTGATAAGTGACAATAATAGTCAGCAATGTTCCTTTGCATAATCACCACCTGACATGGCTCAAACTAATTTAATTAGTTTTTACTGAGAAGGAGATTTCTACATGAATAAAGACATTGACAAGTAGTACAAGTGGTTCTAGCAACTCTGTATGAAATGTCCCCAAACACTGAAGATATTAACAACACATTTTCTGCAACACTGTCACTGCAAGAGAAAATATGAGATATTATTCAAATTAAAGCTGCATTAAAGATATTCTTTTTGGCCACTTGGGGGCAGCGCAACACACTTTTTGCTGTGCAGGATTATCAGTCAATTTACTGACATAAAAACCAAAACCAAAAACTAAAATACGCTAAAATGCTTCATAAAGCTGAGGGAAGAACTGTGGTTTTGTTGCTGCAAGGGAAAGCTTTCAAATTACACACAGGTATTCGATTCACTGTTAATGTAAAAATATTGAAAGGTGCAATTTTAAGTTATTTATTGTTATTACATCTGACAAAGCTTGACAGAACTGTAAAACTGAGAGTGATGTTATTTCATAAACACTGTGTAATGTTAAGAAATGCTTCACCACACCACTATTTTCAATACTAAAGCCATTTAGGCTTTATTTGGACAATCAAAATCATTTTCAATCTAAGAGAACTCTGTCTACGAAAGTATTATATCACATTGTCATCCAAGGTCTCAGGTTATCCACCTCATAAAATATGTCTATTTTGTGCTACTTATTAATGTACACTTCACCTTTTCTAATAGAGGGCATTTTTATTTTAGAACAAAAATTTGAGGATGAATGGAATCATCCTTCTAATGTTATTGGTATACCAACTGGCATTTGTGTCCTGTTAGAGAGATAATGTGCATTGCCCAGAATTGAAAAGACACAAAAGACAGCAATAATAGCAGTATGAATTATACAAAACATTTATCATTGGTGACTCCACTGCCCTCTCGTTCTTCTGTGCGGAAAGCCATGTATTCCCAGCCAGTTCAGAGGAGGAAGTAAAAGACACCACCACACGAGCCAATTTAATGATCAGGAATTGATATGCGGTAAAGATTAATCTTTTGTGCTCTCTTGCTTGTCGATCTGAATGTATGCTTGTTAAAAAGCTTTGAAACACTCCAGGTAGTTGTCTGGCAGGTGAGTATATTTCCCTGTCAGGTATATTAGTGTATTAATATTACAATATACTTGGTCCATGCCTGTGATCTCTTTGTAGAAACAGCCTTAGTGGATGTCACTGTGAGCATCCTGAGAGCGAGACTGGCGCTCCAGTACGACGGATGGCTCATACAGTAGATCATCCTCTCCGAGTGTTGAACTATGCTCCAAGTTCACAAAGTTAGGGATGTTGAAATGGGAAAAGAAGGCACATTCTCTGTCTGTCTTACTCTCCTCTATTAGTCCCTTAAGAGGTTGGTGTCCACCAGCTTCCTCGACATCCTCATCCATCTCGTCCATCCCAGAGGAACTGATACCTCTAGGTCGGTTGCAGGTCCCCTGTTGGGCTCGGGCCCCGGCATTCTTTCCAGTTAGCTTGTCTTCTGGTTTTTGCTTTCCCTGACCCTGGTCCTCCTCATTGATGTAGAAATGGAAATATGAGCGGGACTCTGCTAGTAACGGACGAGAGAAGGCTTTGTCATTTTCATCCTGGGCACCATCAATGTCTACCAGACAGCTCCCCGGTCGATGGCGCTTTTCAGCAGAGTCTGGGTTTCTGTTAAGAGAAAAAGGTTCGGATTGCAGCAAAAAGAAGAAGAGGCTTTAGAAAGATGAAATGCTTTTATTGTTGTTTTTGTCCTTAAAGCAGAACACTTCAAATTACTAAAGATTTATTGTCGTGTTTTGTGTCTGTGTCTAAAAATTAATACTGAAAATCACCCCAGCACCTTTCGTGGAAAAATAAGCGGGGGAAATGACATATAGCCAGCCAATAGACTTCCTTTCATCTTGGCTTAACCACAGTGCCGTACTGAGATTGACCTTTGAAAAGTAATATCTCTAGTTCCCACTGCTGATCTTCACTTGATATGGCAATGTGCCATATGAAGCTCACCTCCAAGTATCAGCTATGCATATTAGAACAACCAGCCTTTCAACTGAATTTACTGTCGGAATAGCAAAAGCAAAAGCATCTGTGAAACTCATTACGGTGCTATCCCTCTATGCCTTCACACACATCCTGAGTTCACCCACAGACATTAAAGCTGCCCCAGCTCTGAGATGAGAAATACAGTAGCATAATTGCCTGAGCGCTCCTTGGTGCTGAAAGGGGTCCCCACAGGGCCAGGTGTGAAAGTGAAAGGCAACATGGGTTGTAGGCTGCTATTATACTCACTCTTGATGCGGCGCTCCTGTCTTTGTGAGCAGCGTAAGAACAAAGAACATGAAAATGACAAACACAGCAAGTCCAACCCAGAAGCCGATGACGATGGAGTCTGAAATGTCAGAGAAGATAAAAAAAAATACATTGTTTAAATGATTAAACTCATCTCTCTTCTCCTCACCCTGCACTTGATTTTAATTTCTCTCAGGGACCCTCTCCCTGGGAGCAAAATCCTCAATTACTCCGTTAAAGTGAACATTCAGCATTTGTAATATTTGATTACAGCAGCCTATTTGTCTGTATGTTTGCTGAAGGTAATTTCTTGTCTCATTATGTGGCTTTATCATTACCATTGGATTATACATTGCCAGTACAGGTGCTGCATGAATTACTGCTGCCAGATATCATTTGTTTATTGGGAAGCAGGTGGCGCGTGTCCCCCTTCAGCTCAGGCAATAAAGATAATGCAAGGAGTGAATGTGCCAGGGTAATGAATCATTATTAATTAACAGTCTAAAGGTGAGTAGCCTTGTTGGCTGGTGGCATGCGCAAACGCACGCACGCACACACACACACACACACACAAATACAACATTCCAAAAGTGAAAGGCAGTAAAAGATATGAGAGGTTGTCTCAGTGATGTATACAGCTGTGTTCAGCTTACATCTGTGCGCTTTGAGACCCTCAAAAGACACTGGCTCCTCGTCGTCATAATATTCGTACTGCCACACGTAGTCACTGCGACGTGCGCTGGTTTGGCTCCGGTTGTGGAAGTCGGACATTTCAAACAGATTTTACGTGCCTTGACAACAGAAAACAAATGTAAATCAGTCCAGCAAGGGCGCTATGTAAATGTATAATGTCACTATAGCCATAAAGTTTACAAACCACAATCTCCAGGGTCGTGAAGCCTCTCTGTGATGCTGAAAACAAGTCTACAGCTTGCGTGAATTTTTGGGGGTGAAAAATCAGCTCCTTAGATGTTATGTCCGTCTTCCGGAATTTAACAGCATACCAAAAAGGTGGTTAAGAGCAGGGAAATCCATCGCTTTAGCGTTACACAAAAACTCCATCTATCCTCATGTGAGTCCTGTCGGAGAAGCAGCAGCAGCTTCAGTGCGCATCACCGTCATCCAGCATCCTCTATACTGTTGGCTCACTCACTCCCAGTCATATACTGAGAAGAAAAAAAAAAACTCATCATCTTCCTCCTCAGTCAGTCATTAAGTCCGCTGTTTGGGGCAAATATGATGTTTTTCTTTAATTCACGTCTATTTGTATTGAGAGCATGTATGTAGCAGAGTGTGCTTGGGTATGTGACATGTAAATGTGGATATAGGTACTGTAAGTGCATTGACATATTTTATATATTTGCACAGGAGACAGTCAAATGACAACACAAAATTAAATATATCAGAAAAATTATAATCTTCAAGCGTTATTTAAGATGTATTTGAACAAAAAAGGTAAAATAGGTTTTCCCCATGCAGTTTCACTTGTTTCAAGAATCAATTTCATTTATTTCTACACCGTCTTGAAACAACACACTAACATTTTTATTAAGAAATAATAAATAATGTTGAAATGCAGGGAAGAAGACATAAGTGGACATAAAGTGGAGACAACCTGAGGGAATGCCCACTGCTGTAAACCCTTCAACTTTAACCTTTACTCTCAAATTCACACTGAATAATAATACGACATGCATGATTACATTTTACAAATGTGTGACTATTTGGAATGATTCACAAGTGCAGGCTTACAGGCTCAGGAACCACTTACAGATACACTGAAACAATATCAAGCAGCCAGATTTAAAACCAATCTTATACAATCCTTGACTGAACAACTGGTTCGTCATTCATTCTGTCCCACCAACGTCAACCACAATTAAAAGTAAAGTCATTTATGTCAGTAGAGTTTCATAACATCAACACTGAGTCAGGAGGAATATTTCTTTAGATCTGGGGAAGCTATTGGCCATTGTAACAAAATCAACCTTTCATCCAATCTTTCATAAAATGTTCAAATAACATGTTATTGAACTACTGTTGAGAGGCAACCCAGATCTGTTTGATGGCAACATCTCGCCTTTGGGTTTAGTGATAAGTGCAGTTTTATAATTAGCCACCCACCAAGTCTATTGAGGGGCGCATATCTAAATGGCCTGACCATTTGCCATTTTAGTGAAGAAGGGTGTTCCTGAATGGGTGTAAACAAAAGCAACATTGACTAATAATTTTAAAATTACTTGCACTGAGGATGTGTCTGCTTGAGGGTGGAAATTATTAAAACTCTGAAACACCACATCACTAAATTCCCTCTTTTCATCCTTTGATAAATCATCATTCAAGCAGCAGGCTTCATTAGGGGTCCTGCATTACTTTAATTTCTGAAGAACCTTTTAACCGAGCCACTTAAGGCGTCCATTCATTCACTGATGCTCCATGATGTATTTTCCACATCATACAAATGGAATTCATCAGAAGGATCACAAATGCATAAAATGCATTAAACACATGGTGCTATTAGTGGCCTTTGCATACTTCCCTGTGTTGGTGTGATAAATGTGCTTTAGTAAATTTGCTGGTGCTGTGTTGCCAAAACATGTCTTGCCACTTCAGCTGCAAAAATGCCTCATTTTTGGCAGAGCTGGTATTGTTTTTTGGCTATCACGACAGGATTTTGATCAAGCCAGATTTGACAAAATCCACATAGGTTTAAACGTGGTCGTGTCTTAGATCCTTTAAATTAAAGCCAGTATGTGGATTTTAAAATTCTTCATTTTGGCACCATCTTGTGGAACTAACAAGAACAACGATGCCACAGGCCAAACTTGCAAAATCCGAGATTACGTTCTGTTACTTTTCTTTTATGTCTCGTGGCAACAGTTTCAAAATGATTTCTAAAATATCTGCACATGGCAACAACAGTAAGACAGAAAAGACATAGCTATGGCAAACAATATGGTAGGTGTTAAAATGATAAAAACATTGGACATCATAACCACCTGGATAAGATCTGGATCTACATTCATGGTTACTGCACTGCCTAAACAGCACTGCATTGCCGCTGAACATTGGCAGTGCATATTCACAGGGATGCATGTATGGATGTAAAACCTTATACCAGAACCATTTGAAAGATACTAATCATAAACTTAAATGCAAAAGGCTTCTTTATTTGGAGCACTGTGGCCAGAGGCTGCCTCTGTGTTCACTGGGAATGTTTGTTGATCACATCCAAATGATTTGTTTTGATTGAATTCCTCACAGATATGAATCAGACAGGAAGCCCCTACCCCAGTCTTACTTTGTGTGTCCAGATGGCATAATCTCCTCTTTCTCTCTCTCTGCTGCTCAGCTGAAGGAGATTCTTGCTCAAATTATCTGAGCAATATATATAGAAAGAACATAAGCTATCTCGCTAGCGGATATTGCCCTTGTGGCGCAGATATTCTCGAAAGAAAAGAAAAAAAATCATGTTATCAGATGATGAATCACAAAATGCCACCCAGTACTCATATAAAAGCAAAGTTTATTATTACTAGATTATATACATTAACTCAGTTAATGTGCTTGTCTGTGTTAATTTTGTTAAAATCTGAAAGGGTTTAAAATGCTACATCAATCAATCAGTTTGCTGTCTACAGTGTTATGTTTGATATTCATCTGCAGATCAATAATAAATATTTCCATAAAAGCACACCAGTTTCTCAAAGCTGTCCCACTGGGTTTGCTTTGGTCTGTTATTCTTTGGGCTGTTGCTTTGTTCTTTAGCCACCGTGGTCATAGGGAGATGATGGGCTCTTGCTGCAGGGAATGTTCCAAGGGCTTTGATCAAAAGAAACGTGTCCAATGGTTGCTGGCAGCTAAATGGTCAGAGTACTTGTCAGTACTCAGTAAAGAGTGAAAACTCTTTGTACCACCAACACGATATGTGCCGAATGCACTTGTTTGTTGTGGATGGCTTATTTATCATAAGATTTTGTGAGCAAATATCTTAATTAAACTAAAGCTGTGGCGTAAAATTTAAAATATATCCCTCATATATCCCTCTGAAATGTAGTCTAGTAGAAGTATCAAATGTGGAAATACTCAAGCTAAGTACAAGTACCTCATAATTGAACTTAAGTAGAGTACTTTACTTTCCACCCCTGCTAGAGTGTGAAAACAGCTGTTATGTTTAAACCTGCAGTAACTGATTTTTTGGCCACTTGGGGGCAGCAGAATTGTTACCCTAACCCTAACCCTGAACACAGTATTGACATACTATCAACACATTTTGTATTGATGTACTGAATTTGTTAGCAAACACCCAGCAGTTATATAGCAGCATTATCATTCATTTGGAGTCATGTTTCTGGCCACCCGGTGAATGTGATATGACCTCTCGTTTAGCTCTGTTTATGGTCTCTTCCAAACCCTGAAGGAAACCTCTGCCTTTTTAGCTTCTAAATGCTCCACTGTGTTCACCAGCTACAGCTGCTAACCGTGTCTGCCTTCTGTTCGGTGCTGAGTGTACAATGGATTTTTATTAAGCTGAGATGAAAGAAGAGGAGCTGCAGATTCAGCTGATAATTCTCTGCAGGTTCTTCACAATCATTGACACGGGGTAGAAAATCTATTGTACATAAAGGAATGTTTCATGTGTGCGTTGATGGTTAGTTAACCTGCTTTGTGTTAGGAGGTTTTTTGCGTCCACAGTTTAGATTAGACGAGACCTTGTGGATGTTCCAGACTTATGTTGCTTTTCCCCAGGTATTCTGTTTTTAATTTGTGTTGTGTGTGCTGAAGCTGAATATTTTTTCACACACTATGGAAAATAAAGTCTTTAATCATTAACGTTTATAGTGTATATTTCATTTAAAAATAGCTTTTCACATTGAAAATGTCATCTGTGTTTTACATTGTATAACATGGTGCTCCAATATTATGTTCTGTCTATATTTCTTACAGCCAGTAACAAAGTTATATTATTAAAACTCACAATAATTCAACTTGCTACTACACTTGTGGAAACACTGACACAGTGTCAATATAAAATGATGATTTGAATAAGTGTCTGAGTTAAAATCCTATCATCAGTATATTATGTTCAGCATATCACTGTCATTTCTGGAAGCACAAAGTCCAAACTGATGTAAGGAGAGACTCAGAGCCCCCTCCCCGCCAAAAAGCTTGCAGACCTCAGATGCATATAAATGACCCTGACCACTGGCTACTGCTCTCTCTGACTCACCACTGCGGAGTCTGTGGATTGGAGGCATGTTTTTTATTGAGATTCAGCTTTACAAAACACCTGGTTAAACCCAGGAAATCCTTCACCCCGAACAAAGATACAAAAATGCATTGACAGATGCAAGATACAAAGAGAGCTGTACTTTTCAACTCTTCATTTTGCATTCCATTTTAACACTCTGCTTCACGCCCATTCATTAATACACTGTCCGATTATGCTGTGGGCATATACATTATTTCCAGTGTTGCTGCTCATTTATTTTTACTTTCTTTTACAACATTATGCTCACAAAATAAACTCTGTGGCTTTAAAGCGTCTATAACCCAGCACTCTTGAATCTGTCCATTTGTGAATTGGGGTTAGAAAACATTCAAGACTTCAAAACAGATAATATGAAATATTCATAGGTTCCGCATCAGCATTGTTGCTACGTGCAATGCATAATTCGGATATTGCTGAGATACATTTCTCACTGACAGCCAAGTGTCGTCCTCAAGACCAGACCTGGCAATTAAGCTGTCTTTATTTATCTCCATCCTGT